GTGAGTTTATAGATTGCAAAATGAGTCAGTATTTTTAGTGTAATAGACAGCTGTAACCGATTAATGCTCCCACTTCCATCAACAACTATGAACTTGAGCGAACTGCCAGAACCACTTTGCTTCATTCACTTGACCTCACATTCATGTCTGGCACGATATAGTTGACGTTAGTTGAGCTGTGTTTGAGCTGTATTCTTCTTGCATAGATGAATGTCTTTCTGGTGTTAGGCTCTTTTTTCGCAAGAATATAGATTCACGTTTGCAAATCCAACATTAAGCAGATGTGCTTCGAGTATACCGACTTAAGCACAATTTACGTCCAGAAGACGAAATAATATACCCGATGTTTGTTTTTCATGCAGGAAATTATTCAAGTTATTGCAGTAAAACGATATGGAGATAGTCTGCGTTTTTACTTGTTTAAATTCTGGTTAGCCCTGCCTGCACCGGGTTTTGTAGTAATTAAATGGTACAGCATAAAAAGACAGATTTCGGGATATGTTCACTTTCCTGGGTCTCTTTAATCATCCTAACGTGTTCTAAAATAGAACTTTCCACATTGAATAAGTAACAGTCTTCATGCTGGTAATTACTAATAACTGAATATACAGATACTTCCATATCCTAATCAAAAACAGAGGCGTTAGGCATGGTCTTACCGTAATCTGGAGACAGCCGAATGTCCTTTTAATCAAAAACTCTTCAGCCGCCTATTTTTATCTCCTAACTTTGGCCAAGTCACATCTACTATAAGCTTATTTAGAGGGCATATAAGCTGGGATAAGATAGCCTACAAGACGTGAGTTACCTGGTTCCAGTAGGGGAACCTTGGACGTCAAGTTTGATGATCAACCAGCCAGGACTCAGGTCTGCGGTCGTCCATCCTGCTGACTAAATGACTAACTACGGCAACTGTCATCCCATTCTCGTTTACATTTCTCCGTTTAAAGCTTTTTCGCTATCGTCAATCACTCTCCCTCTGTGTCACGAAGGCCGCAGTTATGCACCCCACTTCAATCGGTCATTAGGTCAGACGTTCTTGATACTGCTTGCTTTCAGCGCGTGAATATCTTTTATTTTATGCCCGTATAAGTTGTGGTCGTTTTTTCATTTTATAAAGGCGTACAAATTATCTTGAAGCCTTCGCCGAGCGTGCGTCTCATTCAGGTCAGGAAGCCAAAATAAACTTGAATGTAGCACTAGTCCAGAACATCGCCTTCTTCGAAAAGAATGTCACAATTAGGGCTAGTATCGTTTAAAACTACCCGCGCCTGACTTGTTACTAAGATCCGTTTGGTAGATTCTACGGTTACTACGTTGTCAAGTGCTCGGCGAACAATAAGTTCCTATCAGCTACCGATTCAATTTATACGCCTTTACTCCTCTACCGTGTCCCTAGCCTGTCAAGCAAAATTCTTAGTACAGTAGTCGCCGGCTATTAAGCCCACCTCGGGCTCAGACCAAATTGGG